CGGACTTCGAGCTCGTCGATATATATAATATATATCTCCATCGGAGAGAATATGAAAGAAGCCATAAGAGAAAGAGCCAGCTAGGGAGGCAGCACAATGCAGAGGATCAAGGTATTGTAGAGGTCCGGCGGGCGGCAGCAGCTGCCGCCCGCCGGTGAAGCAGAATGACTAGGGTTGTTAACCTGCTCTGATACCATGTAGATTAAATGTATAAAGAGAAATATTGTAATTTTGATTGTATTATTGATATCTTTTACCAATGATTCCATCGATTCCATATATAAGAAAGGGTGGAGTGTGTAGTAGGTGAGGAGTAGTGGAGAGTTAGGTGAGTAGGTGAGTGTGTAAGTAAGGTGGTAGTGGTAGGTGTGTAAGTGGTGGATTTTAACATGCATGTTGGAGGAGGGGGGAAAAACAGCAAAGTCAACTTGGGAACAGCAGCAAACAGATACTGAAATAGGAATTGAGCCTGCGTTTGGGTTGTGTTTTGTAAATGTGGATTCGAGAGTATGAGTTGTTATTTTTGAGTTTGTGTGATGTAGAATTGTGATTTGAGTGTAGAAAATTTTGTTTGGGTAAGAGTTTTGAAAATAGTTTTTGGAAAAGAGGTTTGATTTGAGTGGGGAATTATGATGTGACATTTGATATGTGATACAAAAATTTACAAACTCATAAACTAAACATCAACTCAATAAATTTATTTTAAAAGCACATAAAAAATTTAAAAAAATTTCAAAAAAAATATTTTTCCCATTATATAAATCAATGGCAAAAAAAAAAAAAAAAAAAAAAAAATCCGGAATGCAGGTGGACATCCGGGTGGACATCCCCCAAGGACTCCGGGTGGTTACATCCCGCGCAGCATAATTTCAAAAAAAAAAGAACAACGCGTCTGATTTGCAGAGTAACACAGATGTTTGTGCAGAGGTTCTCAAACAGCTTTTCAAAATCACAACCAAAACACATGCTTGAATTAAGAGTAGAATTGTGTTTGAAACACAACCAAACACAGTCTTTAATAGCAAAGTAACATGAAGAGAGAAGATAGATGAACAAGTTAAGAGGATCTAACTACCAAGTACACATTTAGTTTCCTGAAGCAAAAGCTTATAAAGAAGATACAAATAAAATGAGGTGCTTACAATAGCTCTCCACCAATGCAGCAGATGCAACAAGGAATATGTTCTCTATTCAACTTCAAACATTTTAGTCTGAGACTCTGTTGATTGCATATCATCAACAAGTTCTTCCTGCATTCCAAGGCTGAACCCCAGCCTCAAAAATCCTTTCCATCCTAGCATAATGTAAAAGCAATTGCAAGAATGAGATTTTTGTCAGTATCACTCCATGTTTAAGTGTAACTATCAAACAAGAAAATAATTATCAATCAACTAAAAAATGATACTGGAGCAATAAGAAGATAATTTTGTTTTGAATTCAATTACGAAAACAAGAAATGTAAGCCAATGTTGTACCTTTGGAAGGGACTGGAGCTCACTATGATAAGTTCATAAAAGTTTAGCAAAGTAGAAGTGAACTTTGGAAGAGTAAACAGTTTAAATACATACACAAAAGAAAGAAAATAAAATGCATTAGAATTTAATGTTGAACTGAGTCAAAAATACATGGTAATTTATTTTTATCAGGCAAAAAAGTAACAAAAATATTATTAATAAAAGAAAATATGCAGAAGTCCACCAAGCAAAAAGAAAATACAAAAAAGCATGAACAATGCTCCATTTAATGGACAACTAGAAAAATAAACAGCGTGAGGATTGTAAAAATTCAATGATAGAGAGAGAAATACAGAGAATGATGTATCTATTGATGTTATTATTAATTGAATGTAATTATGTTGTGTTGAGCTCTCTCCTTTATAGAGGAGAGGGAGAACAATTACATATGAAAGTAGAGGCACAAATATTAAAGGTACATTTATAAAGCATACTAATTATTATACTAACCTAATTATTAAAGCAAGGCACTTTTTACATATTATATTCTAACAGCCCCCTCAAACTCAAGGAGGATAGGCACTAACCACTTGAGTTTGGGAGAGTAAAACAAAACAGGAAAATAATCTGACAAATAATAAAAAATGGATAGGAGACACTGTATGGTCGTGTCGACCGTTGTTAGAAGACTGTATGGTTTTTATGGCAAGACGATGTAGAAACAAGTTATGGGTCATGTCGACCGGTGTAGAACGACAAGTTTAATGGGGTCATGTCGGACCGTGTAGCAGAACAATGTTGTGACGTTGTGTGAACAGTTTAACCGAAAGTCTTGCTGGACCTTGTAGAAACTAACCGGGATCAATGTCGGGACAGTTTACAGAGTCTTGTCGGACCCCATGAAGGAGCTAACCGAATCATGTCGGGACAGTTTACGAGTCTTGTCGGACCGCGCTAAAAGTCGCACCCTCAAAAGGTGTGCCCAATTTTTCAAAAAAGGCGTGCCATCAAAAAGGCGCGCCCATGTTGTCCGGCGAGCGCCGAGAGGCGCATGATGCGCGTGTCCTGCCTCGGCTATTTAACCAAGACGGAGGCGGGAGGCTGAGGCAGAGGCTGAAAACAAAAAAACCTGCTAAAATCCTCTTTGAAAAACCTCTTCATTTTCTGAGAAGAGATACTCCTGTACACTCTGTTGCCCAGAAAATGGCTCCTCTTCTTCCCTGTAGGTCTGCTCACTCTCTTTCCCGACCTCAAACGAGTCAACAGAGAGATAATGGTGCGGTGGCCCGTGAACCTCAAACGAAACACCTCTATTTTTGCTCCGTTGAACTTTCCGATGCGGTCTGTGGAGCAAAAATGGCAGTGCAAACGGATATTGAGGCCAATCAGTATAACTATTGAAGTCATGTGTGGAGACCATGACGGCGGTCACAAACTTGTCGCACCGGCTGTCAGAGTAGGACAATGAGGTGCACAGTTAAACGCCCAACCTGGCTCTGCTCACGCATGTATAGGATGCGCGGCAGAGATAGTGTGCTAAAGGCGGAAAACAAGGAGCTGAAGCGGAAGGCCACCGTTGATGTTCCGATTTGGAGGTCCGCCAATATGCTTGCGTGGAGGAGCAGGGATGTGAATCGTGCCCAGTGGAGTGGGAAAACACGGAGGCACACCGTCAGGGCGCCCAGGACGGAGGCAAGAAGAAAAGACCGGCGGCGAGTGAGAGGGAATAAGGAAAATCCTGCTGTGGGTGGGTGTTTGTGGGTTGGTTTTTTTTTTTTTTTTTTTTTGTGTAAAATTGTGACGGGGTTGATCCCCGGCATGAAGAAAGGATAAGTTTGTGGAAAGAAAACGAGTTGGAATGGATTGGGTTTTAAAACTTCAATTTTCACTTCCATCAACTTCATCATTGAATAATACATCTTTCATCTCTGGCACATCAAGTAAAGGATTTGCAATTTCAAGTAAATCAGAACCCTCTAATAAATTAAATGTATCTCCATCATTATTCTATAGCTTGGTGTACCTTTGCACCGCCATTTTTTGCTCCACCGACCGCATCGGAAAGTTCAACGGAGCAAAACCAGAGGTGTTTGGTTGAGGTTCACGGGCCACCGCACCAGTTATCTCTCTTGTTGACTCGTTGAGGTCGGGAAAGAGAGTGAGCAGACTACGGGACGAAGAGGCCATGTTATGGGTTGCTGAGTGTTTCAAAGAAGGGTTGGTTACAGAGTGTTACAGAGTATCTCTCTCAGAAAATGAAGAGTTTTTCAGAGGATTTTAGCAGGTTTTTTTGTTTCAGCCTCTGCCTCAGCCTCCGCCTCCGTCTTGGTTAAATAGCCGAGGCAGACACGCGCATCATGCGCCTCTCGGCGCTCGCCGACAACATGGGCGCGCCTTTTGATGGCACGCCTTTTGAAAAATTGGGCACACCTTTTGAGGGTGCGACTTTTTAGCGGTCCGACAAGACTCTGTAAACTGTCCCGACATTGATTCGGTTAGCTCCTTCATGGGTCCGACAAGACTCTGTAAACTGTCCCGACATTGATCCCGGTTAGTTTCTACAAGGGTCCAGCAAGACTTCGTAAACTGTCACAACAACTGTCACAACATTGTCTGCTACAACGGTCCGACATGACCCCATAAACTGTCGTCTACACCGGTCCGACATGACCCCATAAACTGTGTTCTACATCGGTCTGCCATAACCATACAGTCTTCTACAACGGTCTGACACGACCATACAGTGTCTCCTATCCATTTTTTATTTTATTTGTCAGATTATTTTCCTGTTTTGTTACTCTCTCCAAACTCAAGTTGGTTAGTGCCTATCCTCCTTGAGTTTGAGGGGGGCTGTTAGAATATAATATGTAAAGTGCTGCTTTAATAATTAGGTTAGTATAATAATTAGTATGCTTTAATAATGTACCTTTAATATTTGTGCCTCTACTTTCAGTTGTAATTGTTCTCCCTCTCCTCTATAAAGGAGAGAGCTCAACACAACATAAATTACATCAATTAATAATACATCAATAGATACATCATTCTCTGTATTTCTCTCTCTATACATTGAATTTTTACAATCCTCACGCTGTTTATTTTTCTAGTTGTCCATTATAATGGAGCATTGTCATGCTTTTGTATTTTCTTTTGCTTTGGTGGACTTCTGGCATATTTTCTTTTATTAATAATATTTTGTACTTTTTTGCTGATTAAAAATAAATTACCATGTATTTGACTCAGTTCAACATTAAATTCTAATGATTTTATTTTCTTTCTTTTTGGTATGTATTTAAACTTGTTTACTCTTCCAAAGTCACTTCTACTTTGCTAAACTTATGAACTTATCATAGTGGCTCCCAGTCCCTCCAAAGGTACAACATGCTTACATTTCTTGTTTTGGTAATGAATTCAAACAAAATTATCTTCTTATGCTCCAGTATCATTTTTTAGTTGATGATAATTATTTTCTTGTTTGATAGTTACCACTTAACATGGAGTGATAATGACAAAATCTCATTCTGCAATTGCTTTTTTACATTATGCTAGGATGGAAAGGATTTTGAGGCTGGGTTCAGCTTGGAATGCAGGGAAGAACTTGTTGATGATATGCAATCAACAGAGTCTCAACTAAATGTTGAAGTTGATAGAGAACATATTGCTTGTGCTATCTGCGTGCTTGGTGGAGAGCTATTGTAAGCACCTCATTTTATTTGTATCTTCTTTATAGCTTTTGCTTCAGAAACTAAATGTGTACTTGGTAGGTTAGATCCTTCTTAACTTGTTCATCTATCTTCTCTCGTCATGTTTTACTTTGCTATTAAAGACTGTGTTTGGTTGTGATTTCAAATCACAATTCTACATCTTAATTCAAGCATTGTGTTTGGTTGTGATTTTGAAATGCTGTTTTGAGAACTCTGCACAGAACATCTGTGTTACTCTGCAACATCAG